TGGCATAGCAGGAGAGGGGTGGGTGCACCAGGAGCCTGTAATGCAGTTGTTCAGTTTTGTCCTGTTCCCCATGATTATCACAGTTTAAGCCAGGGATGGATGATCTTCACACAGAGTGGTGGGTTGTTCCTCCAGCTGCTGTTGGCTGCTTGGAGTGGGGATTGGGTGAGACCCTCTCCATGGAGGCTGGCATTGTGGGAGGTTGTTCTGCCTGGTCTCCTCATAGAGTTTGTAGTGGCCACTTGGTGAGGCTATCTGGTTAGTCATCATGGGTCTCTGGACTATGAGCATTTGCTCCAACTGGCTATAGGTGTCACGGTAGCTTTCGGCTAGTGGATTCCAGGTGAAGCATTGGACTAAGGGGTGGTTTCTTCCAGGTGGCCACTGGGAGCTTTGGGGGCAGAGCCACGTGCTGTGCAGCAGTGGTGGAGTCTTGGGGGTGGGGTCTGAAGGACAGAGACAATGCTGGAGACTTGGGGATGGGGCCTCAGGGCTGGGGGAAAGTGCTAGGGCCTTGCGTGTTGGAATGCAGGGCCTGGCTCGGTGGTGGGGCCTCTGGGGAAGACCAGCACTGGAGCATTTGTGGTCAAGCTAGGGCGCACAAGCAGCAAGAATCTCAGAACTGGGCTGCAGCCTGGAGGCAGGGCAGTCGTTGTGTGGTCAGGACAGCGGGGTCAGACAGCAGCATGGGAACCACGGAAGAGGAGCCATGCAGGGCCATCATGGAGGTCACAGGTGTAGGGCTACAGGGCAGGTAGCCAGGCAGCCAGGTCTCTCCCTTTGCCCACGTCCTAGGGGAGCAATCACCACAACGCTTCTCAGGTTTCGTCTGCTCTGTACAAATCTACCGTTGGGGGCAGGGTGCTCAGCTCCCCATCACACGGTGTGCAAGAGCACTGGCTCTGCCTGTTTCCTCCCTGGCCCAGAGTGGGCAATGTATAAGTGGCTGCAGCAAAGCCGAGCCCCATATAGATCTGGTCCCCAGACCGAGAACTCAAATTGACGTCAATTGCAGTAACATAGGAACAGAAGCTA